CACATATATGCACAGTATTAAAAAATTTCGCACACTATATGCACAGTAGTACAATTTTGATCATAGATAATCAATTTTATATATATATCGATATATTATTTTTTTTTTATCAATCTTTTAATCATGTCTCAAGATATTACACAATTTTTTTCTATTAATGAAATAAACCAACCGTTATCAAGTTCTAGTAAAGGAAAAGAACGAGCTATTGAACATACACCTGAACCCGAAATTATTGCACTTGATTTTGATAATGTTGAAATATCTTTACGTCGTAGTCCAAGAAAACATCCTAATAGTTCATCTGTAACAAAAATTAAAAAAAAAAAGACTAAAATAGCTAAAAAACAATATGAGGAAATTAATAAAAAAGCAAAAGAAAATTTAACTTTTAATGAATCATGGAGAGTAGGTCGTCCTTGGCTAATTTATCAACAAACTGATGATAAAAAAGGATTAATGTTTTGTTCTTTATGTAAGAATGCGAAGTCTAATGGTTCAATATGGTCAACAACTGGTTGTGATTATATGAAAATTGATTATGTAAAAAGACACGAAAAATCAAAAGAACATAAAGATGCAGTAGTACTCCTTGATCCAAATCAAACTGGAATAAAAGAAGGAATTACTAAAATGTTAAACAGTAGTGCTGAGAATATACTTACTCAAATGAGAAATATTTACTTTCTTTCGGCTCATCATTTAGCTTTAAATGTTTTTCCAGATTTATCACAATTTGTAACATATCAAACTCAAAATACTGGTATAATTTCAAGTGATAAACCTTTACAAATTCTCCGACCTCCTATTTTACCAAAAAAAACTCAAGCTACTATCGAAAAAAAACAGTCTAATTATGCTACATATACAAATAAAGTTGCTGGTCACGAATTTTTGAAATCAATTGCTCATCCTGTAGAAGAGGCCGTTATAAATGAAATAAATAATTCTATAGTATGGAGTTTACTTGTTGATGAAAGTAATACACATGCCACTGCTGAAAAAACCTTAGCTTTAGTTTCAAAACATATGGCAAATAATTTACCTGTACTTCGTTATTTGGGAATGACAAAAATTGCTGATGCAAGTGCAGAATCATTAAAAGAAACTATAGATACTTTTATTATTCAAAAAGGATTATCAACTGAAAAACTAATTCATTTCGGAAGTGATGGTGCGTCAAATATGCAAGGTAAATATTAAATAATTATTTATATTTTTAATTATATAAATTAATAATCTTATTTTTATATATTATATATTATTATTAGGAATAAAAAATGGATTAGCGGCATTGTTAAAAAATCGTAATCCTTTTATGTCATCTAATCATTGTATAGCTCATCGACTTCATTTAGCAGCAGAGGATGCTGCTAATCAAGTTTTGTATTTTACAAAATATAAAGAAATTGTAAAAACTATTTATAATTTCTTCTCTAATTCATACAAAAGATGGTATCAGTTAAAACAAATTCAAGAAAATAGTGAATATTC